TATTACTTAATTGGGAACAATTTTTAACTGAGCTCGTTATCACAGCCGCGAAGTAGATTTCCGCAAAATGTCAACAAATATCTTTGTAATATACTACTCATAAGGTTGCTGAAAATCCGTCGACAGCCACGACCGGGTTTCGCCCTTTTTGGGACTCATCAGGTAGGCGCAGTTCCCGGTTTTCCGACAACCTTATGTTCTACCTGAAAACATCACAAACGAGAGATTCAGCTTGGTTACAGGTGAGTCTCCCGAAAAACCAAATTAGTTTGCAAATGGGTGTATATTCGCTAATTTCGTGCAATTTGGTTTCAAGTAGAACATAAGGTTGACGTAAACTCGGGGACTGCGCCTACCCAATGAGCCCCAAAGAGGGCGAAACCGGTCGTCGGCTGCGACGGATTTTCAGCAACTTTATAAGTAGTACATTACAAAGATATGCATGTATCGCGATATCTCAAATATCGTAGCGACTGAAACATGATGCGGCCTGATGCAGCACATTCAGTTGCCTGAGAACATCAGGCAACATCGGGTTCCATGTGAGCCTCCCAAAAAACCAAATTAGTTTGAAAGTGAGTGTATATTCAACAAATCTCTGTTTTTCGTGAAACTTCGTTTTCCGTGACTTTATTCATCACATATTCATCATGTTGCACAAAATTTCATGGAATTCTACGTTGCACAGACTACATGGGCTGGTACAACAAAGCCTGTAGCTTCTACCACGCAAACCAGAGACGTACCGTTGACATTCAAAAATTGAGTTATCAGCTGCTGTCTTCAGTGTTTCATGAAGATGACATCGACAATAACTGAAGGGCTGAGAACTATGCGTTTGACTGACCTCATTTCAGAATACACGCTAGGACCCTGATACAAACAACAGAATACAGCAACTACTGGATCAGCTTTTGTCCTCTGCCAGCAATTCAGCACAACTTGACATCACGTGGGATGGACCAGATAGTGTTGACTGCTCAGTTTTTGCAGTAAAATGTGGTCTCCCGTTGTGGAATCAGACAAGTTTCTCTTCTAAAGAAAGCAAAGGAGGTGACACATGGCCCATCGGCTGAAATCGCCGGCTGGCATGCTAAAGTGGACGAAACGCAAGCGGTTACTCACTAGTTCAGACAAAGTGCAAAACTTCCCAAGCTCAGAAGTGATTGAGTTTTACCTTAAGCTGTTTTTTCTGATGAGGGTGAAATATTTTAGGCTGGATTAGAGAATATCACACCCTAAATGGAACTATCCCTCCACCTTACGCTTAAACTTTAAGTCTATTTCCGTTTGCATTGAGTACCCCCACTTTTCTAGCCTGTGCAGTGCATAGTCAGCTTTTCAGAATCAACTCTGGTCCCTCCTAACTCGACGCGTCAACGCTGTAAAGGTATTCCGTTAAAGCACACACTTACCTACATGACGATATTCAAGCTGGAGGCTGGGTTATTCTTGGTAATTGGACCAAGCAGATGAAGTGAATATTCCATTCCACATAAACAGTATTCCAGAATTTTCATTGTTGGGACTTCGCCGTGAAACCCAGTAAATCTAAGGGAACCGAGTTTGCTGCTATCCGTAAGCAAATGTATGTTAAAAGATGCTATCGATGGCTACGAAACACAGGTCATGATTTTAAGAGAATGGCCTCAAATCGGTATGCAAAAGATCCATCTAATTCTGCGAGAGCATCAAAAACTCGACAAGTTTTTCATTAAGGTATTTTTGTGAGATTAAGCAAATCATAGGTGCAGAAAAGAACCTACTATCTTCCACGGTAAGGTATACTTGAAAATATATTCCACACCGAAAACTACTTGATAAAAGAGCGACGTGCATAGTTATTCCGACCCGACAAACTAAAATTTTCAAGCATGTTACTGTTGTAAAATCTTACTCTACATATCAAAAGAAGCACGCTGAATATATATAATTGAATGTAGGGCAACGATAATCAACAGGATAGGCGAATATATGGACGAAATACAATGCCTAGAATGAGACTTGTGGTCACATCGCACATCACACAGCCGAAATAGTCTTGCAAGAGTAGACGCTTCTGTGGTTCAAGTACTTTCATGTACATTTGTCAACATGTTTTCATGTATGCTGCCTCAAAATCCGATCGGGTCTATTCTATGAAGGTATGTAAAGGAGGATGTAATCTGCATATAAGTTGTCCTCTTACGATCATTCCAACGAGATTCTCTATTTCGGACTAAACTGTACAAACTGGCTGGGTTCATCAAGCCTTTTGTCAGTCTGTTCTGCACCAGCCGACGCATTCAGCAGTTGCCAACTTCAATTATTTATTGTTTTGGCATCAAGCAAGCTCGGCTGGTCAAAATTATGGCAGTTTTTGAGTAATGCACCGGCGCAACAATTGGGTTGAAGTTTCTTGTTGATTAGTCCGGTTGATAAAACATTATATACTACTCTGACACTTCTTGGTCGAATGTAGCTCACTATACAGTTAGAAGGGCGGTCTGAATACGCCCATATAAAGTGCCTGCAATCTCCCAATCGAGTGAACCGGGGCTTTATATAGTAAGCACTTCTATTAACTGTCGCGTTATAGACTAATTGAATATTCCCATTTTAAAAAACGACCAACAAGTTTGCGAAAAAACATCCTTCAGTCACTTCTCGTTTAGCAATTCCACCCATGAAATAGAAAGGTAGATTCACACACTGTATCATTTTAGCTTACTACTGGTATAAAAGCCTTAGCAGGTAAGTATAAGCAACTCAATGGTAAAGCTCTCACGTCTCTTTTGCGGGCAGAGGGAGAGATCACCTACCCGAGATCTCATCAGCTGTTTCAAACATGCACTGACGGTTGACTCTCAATCGACTTTCCGGTGTTCGCTGGATTACGGTGAATGAGTCAGTCCGGTCAATCCGCTGGTCTGCATCGATCAACTGACTGGTAACAGCTCTCGTCACGTTCCAAGGCTGATCCAGTTTTCGGCAAGTGGATGAGTGTTCCTGAATTTTCCGGAATAAGTTCCGTGTCCTTCGACCCACTTAGTTTGCGCGACATCTGTAATAAAAATGAATACACAACCACAGCGAATTTGTGAACTGACACTTTGTCCTTGAGGTTCTTATTGAGCAGTCAGCAATTCATAGATGTGCCCACAATTCTGATGCACTGAACGTTCCCAGTCAAGCACTGGGAAATTTTTTACCCATTTTAAATGATAGCTTAGTGATTAAAATATAGCATAGTGGATGTGATATGATATGGTATGATAATAATATGTAAAAGTTTGAAAGATCTTCGTTTTCACTGTTAACCCTATTCTGAGATGCAGTATTGATTCGTTTGGGAGTCGTAGATTGCGTGTACTGAACATAGAAATGGTTCTTGTCCATCAGAAAGTTCCGTAGAATACCTGACAGAAACTTATGGTGCAGTGATGCACATAATTTTAGTCGTTGGCAGTGTGCAAAGACTTGGAAACTTTGATGAATATTTTGTCCTGCAAGTGGGGTCAATCTATGCTGTAAAAACAAGATGCATTGCATGGCTGTTACTTCCTTGGGAATTATCAGCAGTGTGCATCTTACCGAACTCCAGAAAGCCTCCATCCCTCGACCTCCATTCGAATAGTTTAAACTCTTAATTGTTCAGCCACCATGGGCTGTATGATTGGCAAGCAATTAGATGGGTGTAGAGCAGCTTAAACTTCAGTCACGGGATCCACATCACGTGGTTAAACAGGTCGACTGTCTCCCCGAGTGATGACTTCTCAGATGGAAGTTTCACTTATTGTGCGAACTATTCTTCCGCTGTGATGACCAGCCGTTCACGGCAGAACGCTTTACTGTTCAAACTGATAGCCTGTAGCTCGTGATTTCCAGACTCTCCGGAATTTATTGAAAAGCACATTGTTGGTCACCTAAAATAAGGATGAAACAGCTGTACAGTGCTTTGCAGCTCTTCAGCATATACTGGCTTCTTTTACAGGACGAAATCTCCATTAAAAATATCAGTTGATGGATCTGCTGCTTTGTTTCTTATTTCTTCTGGGCGAAACTGTCTCTGACCCTGTCTCAACCACAACGATATGATGTTGCAGACCAGCACCTGTCTTTTGGCCGAACGGGAAAACAAGCAATCGTTTGTCTTGCTGTCAACAGAATACATCCAATACCCGCATTCATATTGCACCGAGCGCGTTAGCCAAGCAGAACACGCAAACCTGCAGAGATTGTAACAAACAACGAAGATGAGTTCAACAAGCCAGAGAAACATCGTTGTTGTTGTTTCTTGCCAGATCCGACTTTCGTAGTGGTGATTCATCCCACATTAATGAGTTCAACAAAATTCCTGTCTTGTGTGGCCAGTTTCAACAGGAGTTCAGCACATGCATGATTATCTCGAAATGTAAAATGAGCAATCTGTACAGAGGCAGAATAAACGAAAACGGTCAAAGAACACTGGTATACGCTTTTGACCGGTTGTAGGCAACTGTTTCCGGAGATTGCACAGTATAAATTCATAACACAGATTACCTGTAATCGTTGTGAGTTATGCCTTCCACGTTTCTGGTCTACTAGCTGATCTGAAGTGCCCTTGAAACCGATTGGCTGGTTAAGCACCTCTGTTATGATTGGTTCTAGAAGACGTTCTTCTATGACCTCTGGTTAACTATGATCTCAGTATGGAAAGTGATGTTCTAAGTAGCTGCGACGTTTAACTTCACCAAACAGTTCTTTCTTCATCAACTGATCATAGGACTTACGGAAACTTCACTATGCTTGTGAAATGAAAAGTTGGTTTTTATACACAAGACCTACGGTGAACGATGTCTTCCGGTGAATCATCATTTCTGGAAAATCTCGCGGCAAAATTCCATGTAGAAAACAGAGCGCTAGCAGTTTTTCTCCTTGTGTTAATCTGTTTGGCAAGTACCTCTGTGTTGGTCTTCTTTATATTATGTATCAGTTCCAGCGTGCGACGAATGCGACTGAGGAAGCTAGCCAGAACACGTATGAAATCTGTATATCTGGATGAACTTGCAGGCAACGAGAAAGTGAAGGGAAAATACGGACAACTCACCTACAGCATCCAATATGACATTCGATTGGCAAAGCTTACCGTGATCGTCATAGAAGCGAACAAATTGAACATTCTTCCCGAAAATGAATTGTTAGACACCTACGTGACTGTGAAACTTGCTTCTGGAAAGCATGGTAGATTGGAGCAAATTGGAAACATTCAGAGAACGGACATACAACGACGAACCATGCTTCCGCGTTGGCATTTTCAGTGCAAGTTCGATCTGAAAATGGACGACCTGAAATATGCTATCTTGATTTTTGAGATATTTGATTACGACAGTATCGGACAGGATAGAAGCATTGGGCGCCTGACCACCAATTTGGCCAACCTTGATGTTGGTGCCTACGTTGGTACACCGCTCGAGAACACTGAATGGTTGAAAGCTGGTGAGCCGAAGTTCTTGGGTCTTGGAGAAACGTGTATTGGTTTAAACTACCACCATGCGCTAGAGCGCCTTGAATGCCACGTATACGAAGCCAGATGCCTACACGTAAGTGAGTATCTGAGTGCCAACAAACACCAGAAAATTAGTGTACGCGTAAACTTACGCTGTAAAAGACATTCGCTGGGTTCCTTCGAGACCCATTCGCAGAAGGAGTTGACCAATCCCTATTTCAATGAGAAATTCAGCTTCCATCTGAACGTAAAACAACTACCAGATGCGAAACTTGTTTTTCACTTGCGCAGCCGAGGTACCTATGGGAGAAAGTGTGTTCTGGGTAGCTTCACAATTGGTCCAAATACAGACATGTCATCCGGTGCCAAACATTGGGAGGAAATGGTTCAAAACAGTCCCAGGAGCCATGTGATGTGGCACACGTGGATTCCGAAAGATTTCTGACACCCCTCGTGAGGTCGGTTGCGTAACTTTCTGTTTTCCTCTGTTGTGGACCTGCTTCCTAGGATGGTGTTCACTTAACAAAATCAATGTTCGTGAGTTAACTTAATTAAAGCTGTTTTAAAACACTTTTTAACTTCTGATTTCCCCGTGAAGTAGTCCTTTAATTTGTCAAAACTCAGGATGTCCTAGAAAATATCTAGAAGCCGAAGCACCTACCAGTGAGGGCATCCTCTTCTGACTTTATGTTCTCCCAAAAAACTCAGGTGGTCTTGTGCGTGTTAAATAGCCTCATTTCTTTCCAGGGGAGTTCACGTCATGACCGTACACTCCAGTAATGTAGGATCGTTCTTCATAGAGCGAGGGAAACAACAACCGAGTAGGTTCAGAGGCTGTTCATCAAATAGGGCTAGGAGCTTGGTAACTCTGCTTGTTGGTTGTTGATCTGCTCGCAAGCCTTGCAGCTGGATTGCCAAGCGAGGAAGTGCCATAAGTGCGTTGTTTGGGGAGTTACGTGTGTTGATAAGGTCTCCTCTATTGATGTTGAAACGTATACAATCCAGTCGCCAGATCAACAAGCAAAGAACCCGGGGTACCAATTGTCTGCAATATTGCCAAAATTCTCGGGCTTCCTACACTTAAAAGGGCTGGTTGATGTGGAACTTCTGTGTGTCAACGGCGTTCCACTAGATAGTCAATTTGCTTCCTCCAAGAATACTTGCTACCTACCACCAGCCCACTTCTTTGTTATTTCCCCCACAACACTAACTCACATGCCGTTTTATACTTTTCATTGATATGATCAGTTAGGGTCTTTCCCCGTCTGACCTTTCTGATATTCCTGCCTTAATCCACTTCTTTGTTATTTCCCCCACAACACTAACTCACATGCCGTTTTATACTTTTCATTGATATGATCAGTTAGGGTCTTTCCCCGTCTGACCTTTCTGATATTCCTGCCTTAATACTTGCCTTACACTCGTGTTGTTTTTTTTATTACGACACACTGTAAGGAAAAAAGATGCAAGCCGGTAACGCATTCGCTCTTTGCTCAGAACTTTTTTTCTTGTGTGCCTTTTGTGTACTTGAGCTCAGGCTGCATGGTTTACCCACACGATCTCCTTTTTAATTTATGCGTTATTAGTTTTGTTTTGAACAAATTATCAATGGTTAGTTCACTAAACCCGCAATGATACTGAGGTTGGTCTTATACTAGGTAGCGTTTATGCAATGACGAGTAACTTTTACATTCTGGTAATAATCAGAAAGTTATCGAGTTACTAGTGTGGGTTAAGCTGAGGTGAGTCGTATGTTCCTGCTTAGTTAACAGTGGCGTCAACCATAGCTCTACAGCCACCTACCTCATATTCGGTCATGTAACAGATGGGTCATGAACCTAACTAAATCAGTCTGTCCTTGTTTTGCTTCAGACAATCACGATAGCCTAACGAACTGTTGTGTGTGGCAAATTAACGACCCTTCTAATTTGGTACAATTGAAGCTGTGCACCAGAGGTCATTTTCATCAATGTCATGAGTGCTTTGCACCGTTTTAGTTTACTTTAAGAAGCTTGTGGAAGCGAATTGTGGCTCGTAAAGCCAAACATAAAAACAAACATCCAGCAAATACAGGTCTTCTGTATGATATTTTAAAAAATGCTATAAATTTCACTGTGTTAAATAGGGTTTTCCAAAGTTGGAATCGGGCAATTATTTGTTCCAAATCTGACTTGCAGTTCGCTGTTTGTATTTTTTTATATTGGTCAGATTTCCCACAGTACTTTCCAAATTAACTAATATTCGGTTGGGCACAAGGAACTGTTTTTGTTATTTTTAGGTAGACAAGTTCCCTGATGTGATGTTTCTAATCTCATTAGCTGGAGTAGATTGATGGCTAACTATGGGATCAGAGCTACTACTTAGTGTAATTGAGCTTCCAAATGAAATTGCTTGTGTTAATGTCCGATCGCTTACTAACCGCTCAGGATCGAGAAGGGGTAACACCTGAACTGAACAGCAGATGTTCTTACGATAACCCTAGTTCACTTCAACACGCGATGTGCATCCTTTTACCAAAAGCAACTTGAGACGGTTTAATGATCCATCAAGTTAATGTTGTGTCGAACAAGTGGTTGAGGGTGCGAAAAATCGATACTCACTAGTTCTGACAAAGGTGAATTCAGATCTTCGATAAATTTAGGTTACAACTAGACCGGTTTCCAATCTATTGATGAGTAGAATATTGTGCTGATTCACCAGCTGCACTACTGAATGAGAAGGCCCTGTGAAGGAACTCGTTTCCTCCCGTTCCGTACAGTAGATTTTCAGTTAATAGGGGTCATGTCGAACACATGCCTAACGATGGTCGTAACCCTTAGAGTCACAACATCCTCCTCCATCTTATTTTTCGCTTTACTTCTAACTAGTTTGTAAGAATGGGCTTGGGTAAGAACTTTCTGTGCATAACATAAGAACAATACCTCATTTCTCCCGCCAGATAGAGCTAACGTAATTGTTTTTTCGAAAGATCCTAACTGAGAAACACTCCATAGAAAGAGACTATCTTGGGAATTTTAGTTTTTAACGTTTGCCTGTTTACAGATCCTAGTCCGGGAAAATGCTGTACGCAACATTGGCTTCTTGAACTTAGTTTATGGTGTTCAACAACTTTATCTCCGTCGCCTGGACCGTTGGAAAATGACTTGCTCAACAAAGGTGAAACACAGATAATTTTCACTTGGCTGGCATCGTACTTCATCGTACTTCAGTTTAGCACAAAGCACGGTTTCAAATTTTCCCCTGTGAATAAAAATGGCGAAGTTTGTAAAGTAAATAAAAAGCAAGTATTAAAATTACGTCCCCATGAGGAAATCGTTGAACCCGAAGGTGCCTACATAATGAGCCCAAGGCAGTCAAACTGGTAATGAATTGTCAATGAATTTTGAGCCACCAACTCATACTACTTATGTCAAGAAAGAACCATATTTGTCAGCACATTTTAGCTGTCATCAACCACTATGATGCCACTTTATTTCACCCCGTTGTACAAGCTGCACAGATTTCAGAGAATGGAGTGTAGTTGTTTAGCATTCGATATCAAGCGGGCACGGCTCGTCTAACTTTTTTTCTTCTCAGAGGTCACAACCGAGTGACCACAATCTGCGGTAAGTCGTGGGACAGTAATATCCGTCCATGTGAGTTGAAAAAAATAACCATATTAAAATACCTCTAGGCAAACACTTGCTTACGGTCTTCCTCAAGCTTAATCTTTGCTCGATGGTAGCCTGTTTAGCGTCTTGCGACACTGTGCCCAATTTTCCATTGTAAGTCTCATACATTTTATACTGTTAATAGTGCTTCAAAAGAACCCACGTTATAAAAGATTTTGCAGAACTCCATAAACAGGAGATTCAGTTGGGCCTCCCGTGAAAACCAAATTTGCATGCACTTTGCGAATTTTGTGCGATTTGGATTCAAGCAGAACAAGAGTTTGACGGAAACTCAGGGAACGCGACTACCTGATAGGCCTGGTGCGGAAAGGCATAACCGGTCGTCAGTTGCTGGATAGTTTTTAGTAATCTTATGAGAAGTTTATTACATCTGTGCAAAGATTTTGATCTTTTTCTCACCCGGTCGTTGGATTTAACAGCTAGAGTCGAAGTATCGCAATTGGCCGGTTCGCAGAATTCAAACAATGTTGAGGCTAAAGAAAAACGGTGCTGGTAACCTGACAGCAAGACTAGAGTTGCGCTCCTACCTCCTGCGGTTTACACCAACCATTACAATCGTACCAGGACAGGAAAAAGACAGTTTGTGTGTGTGTGTGTGAGAGAGAGAGAGAGAGTAGTCCGTAGTCGGAAATTCAACGGGACATTTACTATAGTGATCGTGAACCTACTGCAGGAAAACTCTAGCGCCTTTGCTTCTCCTCCATTTTCTGGTAGCTGAGACAAAATTCAGAGTCGTATGCTCCGCGCCCTCCGTTCCGCTGTTCACAAAAACACGTTTGTCAGCCCACCGTTCACATGTGTTTCCTTCCAGCCTAACTAAGCAGTGACAGTCCGTATTCACACCCTTTCTCGTTGGTGTGAGGGTGAGTGAAACAAACTAGAAGCGGAATTCTATCATCTGGTTTAGCTGCTTAGCCTTGTCGACTCCACCGGTTAGTGACTCTATCAGTAACCTCAAAGTACCTCAATACCCGGTGATAAATCGTTTATCAGGTGTGACCCAATTACTCGAACAAGCACCTTCGGTGACACCGTGAAACCAGTATCGAACTTTGCTTGATTTGTAGACTTTAGCCAGCGGAATGTCTGGAGGACTACAGAGTTGAAATTTTGAGGGCGATTCAACGACATCTCCCCGCCTTTAGTAAACCGATGTTTGACATGGATTGTAGCACAGCGATCCCACATACGAGTTTCATTGTAGTGTACGCACCGACTGAAGCGTTATCACACTCTTGTGACATGAGGACATCAACTTTCCAAATGAGGGACACCCTATATCGATAGTCTCTGACAAAAATGAAGCGTTTTTGCACTGCCTCCTCAACATAACGCTACCGAATTGTGGAGTGGAACGTGATTGCATCACTCCTGATCATTGCATGAGTAGTTGGTGTAAGTAGCCTCGAAGAACGTCTAAAGGCTGCCCCTGCTAAAACGAACTAAAAGAAGCCTCGGCGAAATTCGCTATTTTAATTCCGCCAACAAGATTGTGCATCCATTTTTCGTATGTAGTGTAGGTGGTTTTCTTCTTTGACCAAAATTTGATCAGATTTGATTGCTTAGTATTATAGAAATCCTGATCACAGGTAAACCACGTATTTAATGTGCAAGATAGAAAGCATGTAGTTTTAAGAAGGTCACAGGTTAATCTAGAAAACAGAAAAAATGAAGACCATAACATGTGGATGTCCAGGACACAAGTGGGGATTCTTCGCACCGCGTACTCCGCAAAGAATTCAGTCAGCTGGCATACTGAGGTCGACCGTGTCTG